AGTGTGAGAGTCATTGTATGGGGCATTTAAGTTTCACTTATCATTAGCCGTTATATTTGGGAAAAGAACAAAAGCAAAGAAGTACTGTACCCTTAGCATGAACAAATATCGAATTCACAACGTTTGCGAGTACGAAATGACATTGTCAAATGTGTACTGATTATTAGTTCTCGTTACGTCCGTTATGGCGTTGCTGTTCAAGTTTCCATACAAAATTTGACAATGACATTTCGGATTCGCAAAATATTCAAATTCGATAATGGTCCGTTCTAAGGGTACTGATTTACTTCTTTGAACAATTTAAACTTTAAAATAAAAGGTATTGAATACTTTATAGATTTGGGAGCTAAATGTTGTTTTCCAACTCTAGAGGTCCAAGGTTCGAATTCCAGTGGGGGCCAGATGTATGTGTGATCATCATCATCATCATCAGCCTATTAATGTCTCCACTGCTGGGGCACAGGCCTTCCCAATGGATGGAATAGGGAGATTGGGCCATGACCCACTAACGGGCCCAGTGCGGATTGGTGGGTGCTAACGACTGCAGATGCAGCCGGGACCAACGGCTTAACGTGCCTTCCGAAGCACGGAGGGGCTCGAGATAGTAAATTTTTGGTCACCCATCCAATGACCGACCACTGCGAAAGTTGCTTAACTTCAACGATCGCAGCCGAACGCGCTAACCACTTGCGCCATGGAGCTCCTCTGTATCTGTGATGAATGGAAGCATTTGTACTTCAGTCATGGACCTTTAATATGTTTTACTATATACACCACACCTCCCGCATCATCTATCTTCGCGACTGAACTCCACTTACAATTAAAATCAGGTGATTTGGTGCGCCTCGTACCAAATAAATTTATAGTATAGCACGTCGTTTTAATCACACGCAACACGCTATAATAATAATAATAATAAAATCATTTATTGCAGGTAGCTAAGACCCATATTTAAAACATGATACAATATAAAAAATATAAAAACTAATTAAAAATACATTCACATTATTATAATAACAACGTCAATCTTCTATTTGCGATTTCCATCCGTATGCACAGATAGCCAATATCTATAAATTGGATTGTTAAAATCCGCGTACAAACATTTTAGTATGCTGTTACCAGAGCAACGCAGTCCCTCCCAAAAAGAAGCTATGCGCGCCCTAATAACAGCATAGAAGTCCGATACCCCAGCCTCCGCGAACATTGTAGAAGCACTGCAAAATCTCAGCAGACCCATCAGGATACGAAAAATATCATTATATTGAACCCTGATGGTATTACACGACCTCCTGCTGTACTTTATCCACAGTTGACTGGTGTAGAAACTGACACAATAGGCATTGAACAGCGTCAATTTTACCTGCCTGCTATACCAGGTACAGGTGCGTTCCTGGGCGTTTTCCCCGCCCCCCACGACAACGGCTAACTAAAGCCGAAGCCCCATTCTCAGAAACGCCCTCTAGTTAAGCTAACCCACTCAGCTTCGAGTGGCTTAGGGGCTCCAGACGGAGAGGAGACTCTCCGGTGGAGAGATGCCATCCGCCTGGAATACCTCTAGAGGCACTCGCCAATTCTCGGCTTGAGGTCCCCTTTGGATCTCGCTGTCCTCAAACCCGGTGACGCTGTAAAGGTCATCTGCGACCAACAGCATACACATTAAAAAAAATGTGGTTAAATTGATACGCGTCGCAAATTAATTAAAAAGGGAAGAAAGGGCATAGTTGTCTTCATCGTCAACAGTCTTATAGTGTCCCCGCTGCTGATGCACAGATTTTTCCTATATGTCTTCAGAAAAGGGAGAACGCGTAATATCCCATGAAGGTAGCAATTCCAGATATTTATTTTTATTATTTTTTTATTTTTCCAACACACACCAATTAGCCTAGCCCCAAAGTAAGCACTGTAAGGCTTGTGTTATGGGATGCTAGGGTAACGGATAGAATACATTATACTGTACATATATAAATATATTTATATAGAAAATACATATTAAACATCCACGACTGGAGTACAAATACTCGTATTCATCACACAAACATCTGCCCCCACCGGGATTCGAACCCGGGACCTCTCGAGTCGGCGACACCATGAAACCCGGCGTACAAACCACTCGGCCACGGAGGTCGTCACGGAGGAGATACCGAGGTGACTACGAGTATGCTCGGTCTTAAATACAAAAATGTTAGGCACGGTTGCAAACCTTGTTTAGACAAATTTTGTATGACATTTTTTTTTGAACTCATGTTAAGGTAATTGTATTAGGTTGGTTGGTCATAAAAATTATATGTACTATTCATTTAATTTTATTGCACTTACAGATTAAATAAAATAAAAATATTCATTCACAATATGGGTGTAAAGCTTGCTTATTAGGTGGGTTAGTAATAAAAATTATATGTACTACTCATTTAATTGCACTTACAGATTAAATAAAACTAGCAAACCAGTAAACCAAATGTTCACCAAAACCTGATTTCTCGAAAACCGGAAGTGCTACGTTACTCAAATCCGGTTTGTAGTCTTATCAGACTATTCTTAACTTATAACTTAAATATTCTCTTTATCTATCTCTTACGGTTTGGCCGCTGAAACAGCACCACAGACAGACGGACTTGTCTAATAGATAAGAGATACAAATATTCACTCACAATATATAAAACACAAGCACAAAAACGAAAAATTACACTACCGATCGTAATTTTCTTTTCTAGTTTTTTTACGGTTTTTTTAATATAAACTTAAAAAAGAAGTTGCACATTTAAGTTTATTTACTAATCAACGAGGAATAAACTTGACATCTTACCCGTGTTTTGTCTATGTCACTCAAGTGCCATTTGTCATTCAATGAAAAGAGACAAGACATATAGTTAGGAGTCAAGAGTAGTGACATAAACAAACTGATTAAATATTTTTTGGAATTATTATATTCACTCGATACAAATTTGGCGGTCCAAACTTTGGATGATGGTTTAATGAGGGTTTTTATTTTGACGCAATGTATGAATCGTGACAGAATCAGATGCAATTTCACCTTACCTTTCTCCGATGTTAGAGGGCAAACTACGACCTGGATATAAGGAAAGCTGCTTTACAGTTCCAAACGACAAGAGTCAGCGGTTGCAAGCATTAAATATTTACGTAAGAGGCGTTATTGCGATATCTGTTTTAAGTATATTATGTATGAGAATATGTCGAGGAGGGAATATGTTGATCGGCTGCGATCGTTGAAGTTAAGCAACTTTCGCAATGGTCGGTCATTGGATTGGTGACCAAAACCTTATATCTTGAGTTCCTCCGTGCTTCGGAAGGCACGTTAAGCCGTTGGTCCCGGCTGCATCTGCAGTCGTTAGCACCCACCAATCCGCATTGGGCCCGCGTGGTGGGTCATGGTCCAATCTTCCTATTCCATCCATAGAGAAGACCTGTGCCCCAGCAGTGGAGACATTAATAGGCTGATGATGATGTATGAGAATGGATACGAGGTAATATACTGCTGCGATAATAACGCCGTTATAATATACTGCTGCGATAATATATGTCGAAATATCGCAGTAACGCATCCGAATATTATCGACCGATAATTACGCGCTATGGCCATGGGAGGAATAAATATTTTTAAATAAACAGAGATTTTATTATATAACAGTAGATATGTGATAAAGGTTGTACTAATCACAATAACGTTCTAAAAGATTAAATAAAACTAGTTTTTACGGGTTAATGCACGAAACTTTATTAACTTTATAAACGGCAATAAATAAATAAAGTTTCGTGCATTAACCCGTAAAAACTAGTTTTATTTAATGAGTGATGTGCGTGAAAACCTAAGAAACAAATATGTTCTAAAAGATTTTTATTATTTTTGATAAATTAACTATTTCATTTTCAAACAATTAAAAGACAATGCTTATTTTTCAGAGAAATTAAAGTCCAAGCAACCACACATATTGAGTGAAAACATATTGCATAAGGCATCATCTTGCATGGCTTCATCAAAATCAATGGCAAATTAGACAAAAATATTACAATTCCTCCAAATTCATTTTTGCCGCTATATAAATCAACTTTGATACTGTCTAGAATTATCCCAATTTGTCTCAAATAGATATGGCAAATATTTTTTTATTAATTTGTGAAAAAAATAATCCTAATATTTATTTATTATAATTATCGCATTCATTTATAAAAATAAACCTTTTTTATTATCATTATTATAGCTTTCGCAAATTCTTTAGTACAAAAAAGATTTGAGTTCGAAAATTTGTCTCCAAACCTCTTTTCACTTAAGCCCTACGTCAAACAAAAAAAATAACAGGATCTTGAAGAAAACCGACGCATGCCTCGAAGGAAAAGCTATACAAGTTTTTGCCCGCCGGACATTTCTGGGAGCGCTATCTGAGTTTCCATTTGTCGCTTCAAAAATGGAAACGCATCATTTAGCTTAGCAGACTTGTATGAGAAAACTAGTATGAGAAAACTAGTATAGCAATCATCTCACCAGCCGAGTCCTTACTTAATGGTTCCTATTGACCTAATGAACAATATCCGCTTTTCTCTTGTCACTTTTACTATAATAGTGACAGTAAATAAATGGATGAGAATCGACCTACTTTTCGTAAGAATTGTCGCTAAGCGTAACACGGTGTTCAGTTACAAAATTTTCAGTGTGATAATACAAAAAATATCACATAATTTAGTAGTGAATTTCATGGTATTGTTTAGATACTAGGATTTATTGAATTACGTTTATGTAAGCGTTATTAATAAAAAAAATTTCATTAAATTTAATAAGTCACTGGTGTCAATTCTGACATAATTATTTCAACTTAAAATTAAATTTAAAAGCAGTCTCTCCTTCTCATATTGTCTATAAAGAATGACAAGGATACACTGCTGTCAAATTTAATTTTAGGCTTACAGGGTCATGCCAAAGGTGACACCAATGTTTTATAATTACATTTGGAATGGAACATGAAAGTAGAAAGAATGGTTTTATTTGTTAATACACAATAAAAGTCTTTATTCGCATTAAGTACATAATAAATAATAATCACTGCATCGTAAGATATAAATATCACCCATCTTCAACATCGCATTAAATAAATACATGACAGTAAACACTTAGAGGCAAGGATGACACGTAAAACATAAATTACATAATATTATTTATATATACAAAACAAATGTAAATATAATAATCTTACATACAACTTACGATATATTAAAGCCAGGTACAGTTTAACAATAAACGAGAAATACACATTTCTCTAATCTAGTTTAAATACTAATACATTCGCGAAACGTATATACATAAAAATAACTAATAAATACACTATGAAAATAGTTACACGCTCCGACCTACGAGGTCGCTAAGGAAAATAAATAGTGACTTTATTATTGAGCACATAATGGCATACGAAACAAGTCTCTAGTGGAAATAATTCATCGTTCACAATAAATACAAACGTACATCACACTCGCACACCGAAGTAGGTAAAGAATTCAACGTCGATGATCGTTGGAGAAATCGTCGGAAAGAGGCCGTACATTTGGGGCGCGCTTACTGAGGCTTTTGCGCGGAGTACGCTAAGCTTTGTGCCTCCATAGACCTGCCCCATCCGCTGCTGTGGCCGCCGCCGCCGCCGCCACCGCCGCTGCCGTAACCGCCGGCGTCACCGCCGTACCCGCTAGTGCCGCCACCGTAGTCGTGGCTCGACGTGTGACTAGATGTGTGATGCGGGTGCGCCACCACTTCGTAGGTCACGTGTTTCTGCTGCGACAACAGCTTCTTCAGGCCGATGATCGCTGACAACACCAAAGCCAGCTTTCCGATCAGCAACGCCTTGCCAGCGATCAAAGCTATCGCTCCTATTGCGAGAGGAGTCAAAGCCATCAGCTTCAATGCGAGTGCAGCGAACAGTGGTCCAAGCAGCTTTTGCGCCTTTTTCTTTTTCCCTCTGCCTTCTTCCGTTCCCTCGACGTAAGTCGAAACTGTGTCTTCCAAAGCGCGACCCGCACTCGACACCGCGTCGATAACATCGGAACCTTTGACTTCCACGCGCAACGAATGTGTTTCAAAGTAATTCTTGAGCCGCGTCACAGGATCCAATGACCTCGGTGCTCCAGTTTCCGCGGGAACATCGGCCGCCTTCACGACTGTGACACCATCGGTTAGCGCGAACGACTCTTTCTGTCCAATCATCTTGTCGACGAACGAGAAGAACTTGTATTTGAGGCATGTTGTAGAATCCTTGCGGAGGCAATCGCCTAATCCTTCTATATCGTTTTCCGTGTGTCCCGTATCTTGCGCCGGCAGCGCTGCGCAGGCCGCGGCCAGCGCTAAAACAAGCACAAATCTCGACATGTTCGCAATGAGTTCTCGTCACTAACTGTGCGGCGCCGTAGCCCGCATGACCTTAAATACCACCTCTCCGCACCCCTCGTGGAGCGGTTCAAAACGGACCCAAAACTGCGAGCGGACTTTCTCAGTCGGTCTGGGAGTAAAAGTAAAGTCCAGGTTTCATAATGTTGCGTTTGCGTGAAAGCCTGTGCGGTCATCGCAAAGGTCGTGAACTTGTTATAGCGTACCGTGCGGCCTCCGACGCAGTTTCAGGTGTCTGTTTCTTGAGTCACTGATTCTGATTGTAAACGTTATTGGAAGAACTATATTTGTCTCGTGGCTTACTTACTTACAGTGCTAGTATGTAGATAGTCATTTGCATTAAAATATAATTAGTTTTAGATACAGAATATTTTAGCTTGGGCTAGTTACGTAGTGTTTTGTTTACTTTTTTTTGTAGTTCGGTGAACAGAGGCTAAGAATACTACTTGACTGGTTCAATATTGTTCTTCGTTTATTAATTTATTAATACGAGAAGGAAAAACTTACGTGCTAAATTTTGTATAAGTTTATATTGAGTAAAAGTGCAAAGCTAATATTCAGCATATTACCAATTAGTATTAAAAATACTGATGCGTTTGACATACCTACACTATATTTTAGAAACGAAAAAAGCTCGAAGAATTTATAGGATGAACAAGGAAAAACGCCGAATGACATCAACTAATAGGGAATAAAAAATTACCTCAAATGCAATCGCGATATCTTTAAGGAGGTTAACAATTAAAACTTCTCTATGTTTGAGATAAATATTATTACAAAACGAGTCCGTTGGTAGGTAATCGTTTGAAAGTTAGAAAGTGAGCTTAATCTTAGATGTATGTAATGTATTTGATTGGGTCTGACCCTTAGTAATGAACTCGGGCCATAGTTGAAGTTAACGTAGATCTCATTGTAATGTAAGCATAAGCATTTATGAATATTACTCGTACTGAAAAGCTCGATGGCGCAGTGTTAAGAGCATTTAGAACCACTCGCACCGAAATTATTAATTCAAAATTTATTATTAATAAATTTATTAAATTAACTATTGTATGAAGTCAAAAAGAAATAGAACAGGGCTTGTACATTAAGCTTTTAGAATTAGGAACTTTGGTGCTAATGGGCCTAACTTTGAGAGCGTAAATGTTAAGCAAAGCACATATTAAAATTTTGTTTGGGCGAGTGCTCTAGGAATGTATAAGTATTGTACTTAGTAATATGTTATATCTGAACGGCTGAATATTTATAATTTCTATGAAAAAAGGCTCAGGAACTTTTGTTAAAGTCACAATCTTGAAAATTATGAAAACTCTTAATAAGTCATTACCTTGCTACATTTGATAAAAGATGTTGCTAATTATTTACAGAGCCATCAATTTCGCATTTGCATATAATCTTTCCTCCCATTTCTCTGATTAACACTTCAAAAAAGTATTTTATTATTATAAATTAAGTATTTCTTTAACAGAAATTAGAAATATTCAGCCATTCAGTATTAAATATTACTAAGTACAATATTTATACATTGCTAGGGCAGCCGCTCATACTAAATTTTAGTAAGTGCTTTACCATCTCGAGCTCTTCTGTGTTTTGGATAAGCCATCGGTCTGTAATTGCAGTCGTAAACACCTACTGATCCGTACTTGGTCCACGTGGTAGTTATGTCTCATATTCCTTAATTCCATCCACATGGAAGGCGTGGGCCCTTTTAGTGGGGATATTATAGATTCTGTCTACGATCATGAAAGTATAACCGACTTACCGACTTATATTCCTACGCGAACAAAGAAATTTGGTGACTCATTTCTTTGTCGTACTATTGGTAAGTGGAATTCTTTGCCCGCGCACGTGTTCCCTCCTTCCTACAATCTGGGGTCCTTTAAGAGGGGGTTATTTGCCTACCTGACTATATGAAAAAAAGTATATTCAACTTTTTCACAATGGCCGACCATTGGGTAAGTGAGCAAAAATTTTCTATACCGAGTTCTAAGTGCTTCTGAAACGTACCCCAAAAGTTTGTTACTCCAAAAAGTTTCACCTTCTTATCCTAGTTCAACGTTAGACGTTATAGACATTTTACTACCGCAACTTTTTTTCGTTTTGCTCCGAGACACGGCGGACTGCGTTTAGTCTTATTTTTATTTCAATACAATACGGAATCTGTAGCGGCTGTTACAAATTACGTTTCGTTATTATATAATGGATGTAACAGACACAATAGTGTTATGGTATTTTGCGGTTGTTCTTTTTCGTAGTTTCGAGACCTTGACTGAGATAGCAACAAGTTCAAGTTCACTCAAATCGTAATGACTGGAGTACAAATGCTCGTATTCATCACACAAACATCTGCCCCCACCGGGATTCGAACCCGGGACCTGTCGAGGCGGCGACACTACAAAACCCGGTGTACAAACCACTCGGCATTTTTTTTATTACTTACGTTAATCGTAAAAGGGCTGATGATGATGACATTATCAGCCTTTTAATACCTACTGCTGGGACACACTGGCCTTTCATATAGATGGAATGGAACTGGGCCGTGCCCCACCACGCGGGCCCAGTGCGGAAAGGGACCAACAGCTTAACGTTCCTTACGGAAGCACGGAGAAGCCCGTGGTATTAAGTTTTTGGTCACCCATCCAATGACCAACTATTGCGTCGAGATCCTAATCCTCAAAATCGTAATGTATGCATTCATTTTAAACATTTGTCTAACGAAGCCGATTATACTCGTAAAAGGCAACCGTGCACTTATTATATTACTCCTCACGGGGCCAGCGAAGAGTCACGGGACCTTTCTTGCTATTTCATCCATAAAGCAGCCCGGTGCCCACCCCCAGCAATAGGGACATCAATTTGCTGACGATAACTTTAACCCAAGTCTTAATACAATTAACAATTACCTTTTTTATACGGAAAAAAATACTTGACTGTTTATACAGTGGTATAAAACATGTATACATGTGTAACTAGCGAATTAGGTCGTAAGCATTCACAACAGAGTTCCCCCCTCAGGTTCTAGTGGTCTAGAGGCTCCAGACGGAGAGGAGACGCCCCCCGTGGGGAGATGCCATCCGCCTGGAATACCTCTAGATGCACTCGCCAATTCTCGGCTTGAAGTCCCCTTAGGATCTCGCCGTCTCCAAACCCGGTGACGCTGTAAAAGTCATCTGCGACCAGCAGCATACACACTCAAAAAAAAAAGAGTTCCAACCAGAATAAGAGCTTCGGTCTGTGGAAGAAAGCTCTACCTTACAGATGACCGCAATAAATAAACACAACCTTTTTGGTGGTGCGTGTTGGGGAGTAAGGTTTCTGGAGTTTCACGGTCTTTGGAAATGATGGATAGATTGCTTACATCGAATGCCATAGTTCTTCACCACCTCAGCAGACCAAAGGCTCGCTTGCTGGCCTTTTTAAAGTTTTTCTTTTTATATGATGAGGATGTGGGTATGAATCCTGTGTGGAGCCTAAACCAAGTGGATTTTATTTTTGGGAATAATTTCTTTAAGTTTTAAACATCCAGCAGATGCTTAAATAAATATATGATAAATTAAAATTTCTTCTTTCAATTGTTTAATATTTATAAAGATACTAGCTGACCAAAAGAACTTCGTATCGCCATAAAAATAGGGGCAGGTGGTAGAAGAGAAAATTTAGGGTTGTATGTATTTTTTCATAGCACATAATAAAAAAAAAAGTCCAAAAAATTTTAGGGCGATTTCCTGCGATAACATTCCTCCTGGCCCTTATGAGAACACTACGTTACAATACCCAATAGTTTAATTTTGTCGCGAAGGCGCATTGTAGGTTTCAGAACATTACTTTACAGGTGGACAACCATTATCACTTAAGCATATGAAAAATAGATAGTAGCCGATTCTCAGACCCACGGAATATGCATACAAAAATTCATAAAAATCGGTCAGGCCGTTTCGGAGGACTATGGTCAGTAACATTGTGACACGAGAATTTTATATATAAGATTTCGTTTAGTGTACAGTGTGAAGAAATGGCGCTGTCTTGAAGCCTAAGAAACACTAGAGGAAATTTGACACGGCCATTAAGGTCTCGGTAGCAAAATCTAGATTAAGTTAGAAGCTCAACAAATAGCCGGCCAATGACAAGCTAGAAATTAGGCAAGTCACCTAGGCGTGCAGTTCAGTTATTCACAAACGCGCAGTTGGCTGTTAGCATAAACACTAACTAACGACTCTCGTTGAATAGTGGCGTCAGCCTAACCGACTTTAAGAAAAAGCTCTCTCAGTTATTGTAGGAGAAATAAATCACCGCTCAACGAATGACACAACAATTTTATTCAACTAGTATGTAATAACAAAAAAATAAAGATTTCTCTTTGGTAGTACTTATTTGTACTTAACAGTGATGGTGAGATTATGGTACGCGTTTTCAAAATCAATGCCTTGGTTGGTTGGTTTGTACGCCAGGCTTTGTAGTGTCGCCGCCTCGACAGGTCCCGGATTCGAGTCCCGGTGGGGGCAGATGTTTGTGTGATGAATACGAGCATTTGTACTTCAGTCATGGATGTTTAATATGTATTACTACTATATAAATATACTCTGTACGTATGCTGGGATGCTAGCATCCTTAAATACAATCCTCATAGATGCTATGCTATGCTTACTTTGGAGATAGGTGATAATAGGTGTGTGTATAAAAAAAAATGCTTAATTACGTTCAAAGACCTGTCAGTAAATCGCAGCTTGCCACTTATAGATACTTGCAATACCAAGGGTAACTACAACTCATGGGTTTCTGGATCTGAAGGATATTGTTTTTCTTTTTTATTTATACGCAGGCAAAAAATACTATTTACAGACGACGGCGCCTTTAAGAGGCACACCGCCGAACGGACCTCACACCTGGCTCCCGCAAGCATTACGAGCCCCAGCAGTGGCTGCCCACTGAGGACCCCGTAAAACTTACGGGCGCTTTACGGCATAATATCCGCTAAAAAACCCTGCGAATACCCTCTAAGCTGATTAGCGCAAAGCCGC